AGAAAGTATATATATATAAAAGTTTCTATAGCTCCAAACTATAACTAGAAATTATACAAATAAAAGTTTCTATAACTCCAAACTATAACTAGAAAGTATATATATAAAAGTTTCTATAACTCCAAACTATAACTAGAAAGTATATATATATAAAGGTTTCTATAGCTCCAAACTATAACTAGAAATTATACAAATAAAAGTTTCTATAACTCCAAACTATAACTAGAAAGTATATATATATATATAAAAGTTTCTATAACTCCAAACTATAACTAGAAAGTATATATATATAAAAGTTTCTATAACTCCAAACTATAACTAGAAAGTATATATATATAAAAGTTTCTATAACTCTAAACTATAGCTAGAAAGTATATATATATAAAAGTTTCTATAACTCTAAACTATAACTAGAAATTATACAAATAAAAGTTTCTATAACTCCAAACTATAACTAGAAAGTATATATATATGTATAACTCCAAACTATAAATTATAATCAAAATAGTTCAGAATATTCCTTTGTAAAGCTGCATAATGGGTTATTTGCGCAGTGCCCACCGTAAAGACTAATCCTCAGATTTTAGCGCTATAAACCTTCAAGCTAATAGACGAGACATGGCGCTCAATGAAGAGGGGGGGGGGCATTTCGGAATGAGCATTACCTCATAATTCATATTAATTCGTGTAATTGTCAGTAATATGTACTTGTTGTCTACGAATTCGTATATAACTCCTTAGCCTCGTTCCGAAGAGTGGTTTAGTTCCAGGACCGTGTTTGTTTATCTTTTTTCCAGTTAACTTAACTAGTGTTATATTTCCCTTGTGTCAAATGTACGTTAACGTTGTTTATAAGTTACTTAGACATAGAACACGTTCTGTCCCGATAAATCTTTCATATCGCAAGAGACATTGTTGCTAAGCAACGTAGTTATTCTACAGCTCTTGTTAATGTTCTTACTGCCCCCCAGTGGCTCAGCAGTAAGCTTGAAGACTTGTACTCTAAACATCGAGGTTCGATACCCGCTTAAACACAAACTCTTTATTAGTGGAATATATGTGTGATGTGTCATATAATTGGTTACACATTTACGGTGATAGATTAGACTCCATCTAATTAAAGTAAGTTTAAGACAACAACTTAAAGTAATTTGATTAAATCAAATGATCACGTAGCTAGCTATACGTGATACCAACTCATTATATATATAAGTATTTCAAAGTTTTAAGAGTGTATTCATGATGGTTTATAATGAAAATAAATTTATTATATACAATTATATTATACTAGACAACCTGTGACCCGTTGTGTCACATTATTCAGAGGTTATGAAGAATTCAAGGTAATTTCAATCTTGCACCGAAATGAAGGTTTATTTTGATATAATTTAATTAAATATTTCAAGCCATTCCTGTAATTAATAATTGTTGATCGGAAGTAAAAGGAAAGACCATTTCACTTTTCAAAAAAGTAAAGTCAGAGTTTTCAGGTATTGTGATGAATTAGTTTATTATGTTGTGGTCTTTCCTTTTAAACTTTCTACAAATAAAAAACAGTAACACTTTATTTTTTCTTCGAATTACCTACCATAACCAAGTCACATTATTGAGAAATTCTTCAAGATCTTGTTTTTGTCATCTTACGCCTATTAATGAAGATGGGAATATTGACAGGGAAATAATATAATAATCAATGCTCGGCGAAAGGTTTTCGTTTATAAAATTTTATTGTTATTCTCGACTTGATTTTTATTTAATTACCTCGTTTCCATAGTTACTATTTGCAAGTAGTCAATAATATTGTAGGTCCATTTTATTGTTGTTCTTTCTACTCGCCGTTATAACACATTTTCATCTCATCATTTAATTTCTGTTGTGCATATATTGTTGTATAGAAGATATTTTAAAGTGATTCATCAGTTGGAAAACGAATAGATAGATAGATAAACTGTGTTCATAAACCTTCTAGTTGCGCCATCAAGTGTACCTAAATACAACTAAAATTTTCTTAAAAGTGACCCCGAAAAACTGGACTAACTCGGTAACCCGTGGCCCGATTTTAACGAAACGTGTTTTATTATGTTTCTATTCTCATTTCATTACAAATATGGTGCTATTGTGGGCCGTTTTTGCTGTATTTAATTACGGACAAGCAAACAAACAATCTCAGAGTTTTAGTAGTATATAGATTGGTTATCTTTCCTCTATGAATATGAAACAGGCGACTGTAACGCTGTTGGAAAACCTGGACGTCATAATGCGGAAAACTCCTAAAGGTGATTCAAAAGCAGATGTGCTTCAAATGATGTACAACGCTTTCGATTCATCTACTCCTCAGATTCAGGTGAGATTTTTATAATTTTGGGTACTTAACAATTATGTTTCGTTTCAATGTGCCTGTCTTACAGGCTATATTTTGTAAATTAATGTTCACACTCCCTGTACGTTTGATAAATATCACGTTTTCCCATTTAACTCATTTAATAAGGGCCATATTTTGTCAGTTAATTTCATGTTCACACTAAGAATACGTTTATTAAAGGTTACATTTTGTCAGTTAATTCATATGTTGATTGTCTTCTGAGTGTTTGAAGTAAAGGCTACACTCTATCAGTTGATATAATGTTTGTTTTCTTGGTACTTGAAGTAAGGGCCATATTCTGTCAGTTAATATGATGTTTGTCTTCTGGGTGCTTGAAGTAAGGGCCATATCCTATGAGTTGATAAAATGTTTGTCTTCTGGTGCTTGAAGTAAGGGCCATATTGTATCAGCTGATATAATGTTTGTCTTCTGGGTAATTGAAGTAAGGGCCATATTCTGTCACTTAATATAATGTTAGTCTTCTGGGAACTTGTAGCAAGGGCTATATTCTATCGGTTGATATAATGTTTGTCTTCTGAGTAATTGAAGTAAGGGCCATTTTCTGTCAGTTAATATAATGTTTGTCTTCTGGGAACTTGTAGCAAGGCCTATATTCTATCAGTTGATATAATGCTTATCTTCTGGGAGCTTGTAGCAAGGGCTACATTCTATCAGTTGATATAATGTTTGTCTTCTGGGTGCTTGAAGTAAGGGTCATATTCTATAAGTTGATATGATGTTTGTCATTAGTGTGCAGCTCTCCACGCTGTCGTTGAGGTCGCTGACCACCTAGACGAGGCCGCTGTCAGGAAGATCATCTTACCAAAAACTAAACAGGCTTTCGAGCACAACTCTGGTGTGAAGGTATGCTCTAAAATAATAAAACATTCCTGTCTGAAAACTATATTTTTTATTGGAGTTATTAAGGTTCAGACATTGAAAACTAAAAAAGATATTGTTTTATACTGTTCATTACCGGTTAGGTTAGTTCCACATATTGTTTTATACTGTTCATTACCGGTTAGGTTAGTTCCACATATTGTTTTATACTGTTCACTACAGCTTAGGTTAGTTCCACATATTGTTTGATACTGTTCACTATCGGTTAGGTTAGTTCCACATATTGTTTTACACTGTTCATTACCGGTTAGGTTAGTTCCACATATTGTTTTATACTGTTCATTATCGGTTAGGTTAGTTCCACATATTGTTTTATACTGTTCATTACCGGTTAGGTTAGTTCCACATATTGTTTTATACTGTTCATTATCGGTTAGGTTTGTTT